TACAGCCTGAAGTCTGGAGCGCATAGACATCACCAGATGCTGGGTTTCATCCCTGGTGATGCTCTGCCGGCCTCTACTGCAACTGTCTTCAGTTCCTGCTTGTTCTTGGGGCATTTTCCCTTCAGTTTTGTCTTCAGCAAGTGAAATGCATGCTCAAATCGGATTCAGGTCAGGTGATTGACTTGGCCATTGCATAACATTCCACGTCTTTCCCTTAAAAAACTCTTTGGTTGCTTTTGCAGTATGCTTTGGGTCATTGTCCATCTGCACTGTGAAGCGGCGTCCAATGAGTTCTGAAGCATTTGGCTGAATATGAGCAGATAATATTGCCCGAAACACTTCAGAATTCATCCTGCTGCTTTTGTCAGCAGTCACATCATCAATAAATACAAGAGAACCAGTTCCATTGGCAGCCATACATGCCCACGCCATGACTACTACCACCACCATGCTTCACTGATGAGGTGGTATTCTTAGGATCATGAGCAGTTCCTTTCCTTCTCCATATTCTTCTCTTCCCATCACTCTGGTACAAGTTGATCTCGGTCTCATCTGTCCATAGGATGTTGTTCCAGAACTGTGAAGGCTTTTTTAGATGTCGTTTGGCAAACTCTAATCTGGCCTTCCTGTTTTTGAGGCTCACCAATGGTTTACATCTTGTGGTGAACCCTCTGTATTCACTCTGGTGAAGTCTTCTCTTGATTGTTGACTTTGACACACATACACCTACCTCCTGGAGAGTGTTCTTGATCTGGCCAACTGTTGTGAAGGGTGTTTTCTTCACCAGGGAAAGAATTCTTCGGCCATCCACCACAGTTGTTTTTCGTGGTCTTCCGGGTCTTTTGGTGTTGCTGAGATCACCGGTGCGTTCCTTCTTTTTAAGAATGTTCCAAACAGTTGTTTTGGCCACGCCTAATGTTTTTGCTATCTCTCTGATGGGTTTGTTTTTTCATCCTAATGATGGCTTGCTTCACTGATAGTGACAGCTCTTTGGATCTCATCTTGACAGTTGACAGCAACAGATTCCAAACGCAAATAGCACACTTGAAATGAACTCTGGACCTTTTATCTGCTCATTGTAATTGGGATAATGAGGGAATAACACACACCTGGCCATGGAACAGCTGAGAAGCCAATTGTCCCATTACTTTTGGTCCCTTAACAAGTGGGAGGCACATATGCACACTGTTCACCTGATTTGGATGTAAATACCCTCAAATTAAAGCTGACAGTCTGCAGTTAAAGCACATCTTGTTCGCTTCATTTCAAATCCATTGTGGTGGTGTATAGAGCAAAAAATGTTAGAATTGTGTCGATGTCCCAATATTTATGGACCTGATTGTATGCATATACGCAACCTGTAATTCTCTTTTTACAATTTATATTCATGCTCATACTGTAAGTAGCAAATATTGCTTAAATACAAGAGCTGTGTGTATTCTCGCTTGTATCATGGTATCCTTCAAGTATTTCTTTCAGGTATCTGCAGTAATAAAGCATAAGACTACTCCTGTACCTCTGTGCGGAGTTTCCAATAACAAAAACAAATCATTGTTGCTTTCTCTATTTGTGCAAGTTGACTGGTCTTCTGTTGTGCTCCCACCCCCGCTGAAGGCAGCATGTAGTGGAGGAGGACTTTCTGATCTCAGTTTTCCACAGCCTATGTGTACTAAAATAGTGATGCGGCCCCTACTTTTACAAGGTAATATCTACATTTGTTAAGACATTTGGTGCACGAAAAAGCTATATCATTTGTGTCTATTGAAGAATATATTTAGATGAACATTTTTGAATAGAGTTCAGCTTTAATATCAGATTCAAGGTGGGTTTAAACGACCAGTTTATTTTAAAAAATAGTTGATGCCAACGATGGACATGAGGAAAGTATCGGACACGCTTTCCTGGTCCTATATGGTATATATAAAAAAAAAAAGAGAAAAAAGAGAGATGGAGCTATGTATTCTATTCAGTCTTTGTTGTATAGTTGTGCCTTCATACAGTACACAAGTTGCAAACCTTTTATTTCAGTAACCACCACAGGGCCCCACGTTACCCCATTATTTACTCATATATACTGATTAGCCATGACATTATGACCACTGACAGGTAAAGCAAATAACATTGATTACTTCATTACATTGGCATTTGAAAGTGGGTGGAGTATATTATGCAGCAAGTGAACATGCTGTCCCTGAAGTTGGTGTTTCAAAAGCAGAAAAAAATGGTCAAGCATAAAGATTTGAGCGAATTTGTCAAGGGCAGAACTGTAATAGCTAGATGACTGGGTGAACTCATCTCCAGAATTCTAGCTCTTGTGGGATGTCCCCAGTCTGCAGTGGTCAGGACCTACCAAATGTGGTCCAAGGAAGGAAAACCTGCGAAGGGGTCATGTGCAGCCAAGGCTCACTGATGCATGTTGGGGGCTGACCCATGTGGTCTGATCCAATAAAAGAACTACTGTAGCTCAGATCACTGAAAACGTTAATGCTGGTTCCGACAGGTATGAGAACGCACAGTGCATTGCAGTTTCATGCATATGGGGCTACGTAGCTGCAGACCGGTCTGGGTGCCCATATTGACCCATGTCTAAAGCCAAATGTGCCTACAATAAACATGGGAGCATCAGAACTGGAAAACAGAGCAAAGTAAGAAGGTGGCCTGGTCTGATTAAGCCTAGGATAGTTTAAGGAACACAACGATTTTGAGGGGTTGACTTGGCCAACAAATTCTCCAGATCTCAATCTAATCAAGAATTTGTTGGATGTAATGGAAAAAAGTCCAATCCATGGCGGCCCAACCTCGCAATTTACAGGATTTAAGGGATTCACTACTGACAGCTTGGTGCCAGATACCACATCATAGTTTCAGTCTATGTCTAAATGTCCATGCTTTGACGGGTTATGGTGGTTGGTCATAATGTTATGGCTGATTGGTGTATGTGATAGAACACTTAGCTCAGGTCCTTACACCACATAACTCTAACTGGCTGGACACCATCACAAGCTATGTCTCTATGAGGAAGAGGTCCCTGCATTTTTTCCAAATCCTGTGGGCTCAATCCTTAATCTCTTTATTATTCTAAAAGCTTTTGCAGAAGTGCTTCCATTACTGAACTTATCCTCCCTACATTCTTTAGTTCCTTGAAGGACACATCATACAAGTGGTCCTAGGAAAATCCAGGCACACAAATACAAAGTTTGTTCTTTGCTGTTACAGGGTTAAAGGGATTGGGTAATCCCTAACATTCTCAAATACCAAAATGCAAAGCCACTAGCACAAATCATATTGTATTATGATACTAAGAGGTTCCACTATGGCTGAGGCTGAAAGCAGGAGATTGCTAACATAATCAAAAAATTGCACGGATAAAACACAAAGACCGACCATCACACATATATGAGTACCTTTAGAGGAAGCTATTACATGTTCAAAAAAATATTTAAAATTTTTTTTCTCTCGATTTCATTTTGAATACAGTGGGGATGGGATACAGCATCTGTTGGGTTTTACTGCTTGTTTCCTGGGGTTCCATTAGATTACTTCCTGTGCTACAGACAATATTTAACCAGACAGGTAGTGAGGAGAAGTCTACAAACGACAACACAACAGAAGAATACCCTTTTTTTTGGAGATAAAGGTAAGGCTAAAACTGTTGTGGATTTTTTATTTTTGCCTGTTGCAGATTTTCCCTCACTTCCTGTCTGGTAAAACAGTTGTCTCGGGGGCAAAAACCAAGGAGAAATCTCTCAAACACAGTCCCAAATAGCAATGAAAAACAAAAGGGGTTCCAATCTTTACCCAATTTAAAGTGTTACTAAACCCACAACAGTAAAACCATTCTGTATATGCAGAAAAGCATGCTTGTTATACTTACTGTGGAACCTAAAGGGTTAATCCTCTGCACTGTGTAAAACGGCTGTTTGATCCTTTCTTTTCTGCCCCTACTCTTGTTGAAATGACCACCTGACACAGATTGACCATGCACATGCTCAGTTTGGTGTGTATTGCTAGAGAGGTTTTTTTTTTTTTTCTTGGGAGAGTGCATGTGATCAACACAAGGCCAATCAGCATTGTCCAGACAGAGGGTCAGGACTTTCACGTCCTCCTAGAGCAGAAAGAAAACTCCTCCTACAAGCTTTAACCAGTGCTCTGCTGAAGTCATAAGACTGCTCTAACTGCTGATGAGAAAAGATATTTAGCAGTTTATATTTACTAAAATAATTGCATTTCCATGTTGTGTGTACAATGGGAGAGCAGATAGAGTGAATGCAGGGTCCTGGGTTTAGTATCACTTTAAACTAGAAAAAGTTTATTTTTTGGCGTATACTGTAATCAGAAATATTTTGCTTCCTCCTGTTGACAGATTTGATCACAATACCTCTCCTCTCTTCCTGACTAACCTTGCAAGTAGATGCGTTAACAATATCCAATCAAATATATTCATGCTTGCTGGGTGGGCAGGGAATTCATTTGCTGCGAGTGGCCAGGTGGGAAAGAGTAGAGAAAAAAGGTGGAAGAGAAAGACTGGGAGCAAATCTGGGTTTGGACTATAAGGTCAAACTCTGCAGAATCAAATTATTTTAAACTCAGAATGCCTTTTGTCTCACGCTACCCATTATTCATCAATACAGAGAGGTCTTACCTGGATTATGGTCAGCTTTCTGCTATGGCAATCTGTGCTCAGTGCAGATCACTAGCATGTGATCGCTGCATCAGCGATTACATTGAAATGGCCACGATTAGCTGCGCATGTAAGCAGACTCCCATTGCTTTCAATGGGCCTGTCTCCCACAGCTAATCGAGGGAACCCCCCCTGCTAGGAAAGCAACACATTTTGTCAGGAAAATTCTCCTGTTGGGATAAGCATACAAGTAGAAAAGCTGTTGCAGTTCCCTAGACTCCACTTGTAACTTACATATATAACACTCTTGGGTCAACCAACCTTTTATTTTTTTTTATGAAAACACAAAAAAGGTCATATAAAAGGAAACCATGTGTACCTTCTTGTCGTTCAGTGTCCTTAGATTTAGTTGTGCATTGCAAGCTTCTGCCCATGCTTTCAATGTTCCCCCTTTCAATTCAATAAGAAAAGATAAAGCATATTTAGATTAACATACACATAAAATAAATGTCAATTAACTTTATTGGATTTGATGCATTTTTGTGTATTTCTACGTCTCCAGCCAAATTGGGATAACATCTACTTTAACTCTGTTACATGTCCCCATTCACAAAGCATAACTTAACTTTTATAGATGATTTATTCTGGATTATCCAGCAAGAAAAATCCTACTTGGTTATCTGTTTTCCAGGGGGCTGGGCAGCTGTGTTTGCCATAATTAATCCTGTCTGTATTGATAGGCAGATCATTGTCATTTGTAACTAGACCTGAACACTTCCTGTCCTAACAAGGGGCTGAAGGTTTAGAGGCTGCCCCTAATCTATCCACTGCCATTTGTGCTCCAATTTCAGAGATTCTCAAAATTATAGTGTTAGGACTGCAGTACACTGGGGTGCCTTGACCAAGCCACTGCAGCTTACACATATAATTGCAAATGTGTGTGACCAAACCCCTTGTTTGTAATGTGAACTGTAAAACAGGGTTAGTTTAGTTTTGTTGCATGTAAGTGGGCTGGGAATTTTTGTCTGTGTAGAGGATGGGCTTCTTGCATTGTATGCTAATGAGGACAGACTAAAGCAGACCATAAACTATGCAATTTTCCACCTGTGGGGCAATGAAAGAAAACTGCTTGATTCACCTATCAACACAGTGTTTGTGAGGGAATCCCTCCCGCAGTGCTATTGTGTTCTGCTGCCTGGAGTCTTCCTTGTTGGCAAAACACAATGATGTCTTGTGTACTGTCTCCCATTATAATGTACAGCGCTGAGCAAACTGTTGGTGCTATATAAATACTTTATGATAATAATAATAATCACTTCTGGCGGCTATAGCAGCCATCCGTGATTGCATGAAAAAAATCAGACAAGTTGGTTGTATTGAAGTTGATTGATGGATCGACTTTAATACAACCAGCCTGCCCATAGATGGATCAAATCTGGGCAGGTTCCTTCTGAACTGGCCAAGATTTGATCCATCTATGGCTGGTTTTAGGACAAATGCACTTTGACATTGTTCAAAAAAACTTGCAGTCAGCCATGACACCTTTTCTTGAAAGACTTCTAAAAGGCAAGATATATTTTTGAAAAATAGTTCGGTTTTTTTTTCACATTTGACTGCAAAAGTGGAAATACTGTAGGCTTTAAGGCATTTATTAGTTTGAAAAAAGCAAAGAAAAAGGCAAGCTTTATCTCAATTTGGATCAACATAAAAGACCTGTCAGCATTTTTTCTGGAACTTGCAGAAGTAATTGTGTTGTGTTTATTTTAGTAATTGTATTGTTAATGAATGGCAGCATTGACATGGCTTAAAACTTCATGAATTTATTCGCAATTCATTTACCTCCTTTATAAAATAGGCAAGTACAAAGATTTTATCATTTTACTCTGTGGGAAATGCATGGTAAACCTTTGAATTTGAACTAATGAAGTAAATTGATCTCAGATGAAAAATGGAGGTAAAGAAACACTTTTGCTTTATGCTTCTTAAAGTTAACACAAGGCAAAGCAACAGGTTAACTTTAAAGGATAAGTTCACCTTTTGTAATATATTACATGTTACACCCATATTCAGGGTGTACTATGTTATGAAAGGAGTGTCCTAGCTCCCCCCCCCCCCCCCCATTCCCTGTTTTAACAGCTAGCAGGGGATCTTTCCCCTCCCCGTTAGCTGTAACAATTATAAAAAAAAGTGGCCATGCAGGGCTCTGCCTGCCTGCGTCACTCATTCACAGTATTCTGTAAGTTGAAAAACTACAAGTTCCAACAGACTTTTTGGCTGTCAGGGTGTAGCTCCCAATGAACTACCACGGTGATTTGCTTATTGCTGGTGTAATGCTTTACAGGCTATCAATTAAAAAAAATAGCAAATACACATTATTTTACCTGCAAAAAAATGTGCATTTATTTATTTATTTTTTTAAAGGTGAACTTATTCTTTAATCCATGATCCCTCAGGAGCACATACTCAACCTTCCTTCGCTCCCTCGCTCTTTTGTTCAGCTTCTAAGACCGGCGGACCTTTTAATCCGGCCCGCGGAGCGTGGCAAACATCAGCTGTCAGAATGTGTGTAGGCAGGGCAGCGTGAGGAACGTGAGGGGAGCGAGGCTCCTCTCACAGTCCGCCCTGAAGACCGGAACGGCGCGGGAACACGGCGAGAGGAAAGCGCGGAGCAAAGGTAAGTGAATTGACACAGGGGGGACTTGGGGACTTACTATGGGGAATGAATTACTATAGGGGGGATGAATTACTATAGGGGGGATGAATTACTATAGGGGGGATGAATTACTAGGGGGGATGAATTACTATATGGGGGATGAATTACTATGGGGGATGAATTACTATATGGGGGATGAATTACTATATGGGGGATGAATTACTATATGGGGGATGAATTACTATATGGGGGATGAATTACTATATGGGGGATGAATTACTATATGGGGGGATGAATTACTATGGGAGATGAATTACTATATGGGGGATGAATTACTATATGGGGGATGAATTACTATGGGGGATGAATTACTATATGGGGGATGAATTACTATGGGAGATGAATTACTATATGGGGGATGAATTACTATATGGGGGATGAATTACTATATGGGGGATGAATTACTATATGGGGGATGAATTACTATATGGGGGATGAATTACTATGGGCGATGAATTACTATATGGGGGATGAATTACTATATGGGGGATGAATTACTATATGGGGGATGAATTACTATGCTTACTATGGGGGAATATTACTATACTTACTATGGATGACACATACACATCATTCATCTACTCTTGGTCCGGCCCCCGGGTCCAATATATGAACCCATTGCGGCCCTCAAGTCAAAAAGTTTGCCCACCCCTGTTCTAAGACAACCCTGTCCAGATGCTTTTGAGCTCTTCAGTCAGAGTGGCTTATACTGGTGGATTGTCTCTCTGCCCTTATGTTACAATAACCAAGCGCTGCATTTCATGGATCGAGTCACAATCTCTGCTATACCTAGAAGGTATTTTCCTTACTCTTTAACTAGTTGCCGACCGCAGATAGCCGAATGACGGCTGCACTGCGGCCGGCCAGTTCTGGGTGGACGTCATATGACGTCCTCCCAGAACGCGCTCTCCTTCGTGCCCCAGGGGGCGCGCACCCGGCGATCTCCGTGATCGCTGTGTCCTACGGACACAGCTGATCACGTGATGTGGTAAAAGGCCAATCACAGTGGCCTTTTACCACGTGATCAGCGGTGTCCAATGACACGCTGATCACAGGGAAATGCAAGTGCCGGTTCTCGGCTGCACTTTCCTCACGCTGTCAGATCGTGAGGAAAGTACTCGAGAACCGGCAGTTGTCAGAGCGAGGATCGGCACTGATCATCAGGGCACTGATGATCAGTGCCCTGATGATCGGTGCCCAGCAGTGCCACCCACAAGTTTCGCCCACCTGTGCCCAGCAGTGCGCCCACTAGCTCCGCCCACCTGTGCCCAGCAGATCACCCACCTGTGCCCAGCAGTGCACCCACCTGTGCCCAGCAGTGCACCCACCTGTGCCACTCTGCAGTGTCACACACCTGTGCCCAGAAGTGCCACCTACCTGTGCCCAGCAGTGCCACCCACCTGTGCCCACCCACCTGTGCCCACCAGTGCCACCCACCTGTGCCCACACACCTGTGCCCACCCACAGTGCAGCCCACCAGTGCAGCCCAGCAGTGCTGCCAGTCAGTGCCACCAGTCAGTGCCCAGCAGTGATGCCAGTCAATGCCATCTATCAGTACCCATCATCAGTGTCACCTATCAGTGCCGCCTATCAGTGCTGCATATTAGTGCCGCCTATCCGTGACACTTCATTAGTGCTGCCTATCAGTGCCCTTTAGTGCTGCCTATCAGTGCCCATCAGTGCCGCCTATCAGTGCCCATCAGTGCTGCCTCATCAACGCACATCAGTGAAGGAGAAAAATTACCTGTTTGAAAAATTTTATAATAGAAATAAAGAAACTTTTTTTTTTTTTTTTCAAATTTTTTTCAATTTATTTATTTATAGCGCAAAAAGTAAAGCGCCCAGTGGCAATTAAATACCACCAAAAGAAAGCTCTATTTGTGAGAAAAAAATGATCAAAATTTCATATGGGTACAATGTTGCATGACCGCGCAATTGTCAATCAAAGTGCGGCAGCGCTGAAAGCTGAAAATTGGCCTGGTAAATAACGGGGTATAAGTGCCTGGTAGGCAAGTGAAATAACAGAGCAGAAAGGGTTCCAACGATTGGTGAACATTCCATGAGCTGAGATCTGATCCAGATCAAAATGATTTGTGGATAGCTAAAAATCTGTAAATATCAGCTATTCTGGCAATGGATGTGGGCTGGCATCCCCATAACAAGTGGTTTGTGAGCTTGTAGGCCAAATGCTGTGAGGATATATGCCATAAATGCTTTCGCACTGAACAAGTGCTTTAGGAAAAGGAAGCACAAACAGAACACCCACTCAAAACAATATTTCCTGTTACAAAAAGCAGAAAGGGGGTGTGGTGGATACATGCAATATACATGCCAGGTTCCCCCAGTTGGACCATTGGACAGTTGGACCAAAAAAAATTTTTTTCATTAAAACACAGATAGGATATAAGGGTATAGTTCCACTTTAACATAAAGAAAACAGTTGCCGATTTAGCTGCAATGAACAGATAGAAAAAAATTAAAAAGGGCTAAAGTACTACTCTCAAAGAAAAATGCTGTTCCAGGACCACTTTATTGTGGGTAATGTGGCTGAAACCTTTGGGCACACTGTGTTTAAAGCAAGGATCATACAATTTAACTTCTAGCTCTCCCCTTCAACAGAGATCCTATCACCAAATGCATGCAAGTATCTCCTGAGGTTTATGACTTCTGCAGTGCTTACCATACCTGAGCTGCAGTTACAATTAACCACTTGCCCAAAAAAAATTTAATTTCATCA